AGCCTTGGGAAAGCAGCATGCAGGAGGTGCTCAGGGGATTGGGATCCCAGTGCCTGACAGAGGTTTGCTGGTCTGGACTGGGGTAGAGCGAATGCTGTCTGCAGTAGCTCCTAAGGGGCTGTGTTTGGATCTGTGCTGGAAACAGGGTTGATAACAGGGATATTTTCATTACTGCAGAGCAGTACTTACACAGCATCAAGGGTTGTTCTGCTCCTCGCCCCACGCACCACAGAGCAGGCTGGGGGTGCATGAGGAGCTGGGAGGGGACACAGCCAGAACAGTGACCCCAGCTGACCAAAGGGACATTCCAGACCATAGGACATTGAGCTCAGCAATAAAACAGGAAAGACTGGCGAAGGAAGCTGCTGGGCATGGGTCAGCTCTTGTGAGCAATGGTTTTCATTTGCATCATTTGGTTTTCTTGGGCTTTTTTCCCTCTCTTTGTAAGTTTCCTTTTCATTATATATTACTATCATCATCATCATCATATTTTATTTCAATTATTGAACTGTTCTTATCTCAGCCCACGGTTTTCTCACTTTACCCTTCTGATTCTCTCCCCCATTCTGCTGGGATGAGCGAGCGGCTGCGTGGGGCTCAGTTCCTGGTTGAGGTTAAATCACCACAGCAAAGATGCTGATTTCAATGGGGAGGACGAGCTATGACCACACTGCCAAGAGGGGTGAGCCCTGAGCAGGACCTAGAGAAAAGACGGGAACAGCAGCCACTGAACTGCACCATGTGGCGCACACATGGGTACCGCTGTCATGAGTGTCAGGGGAATGGAGCAACACAAAGTCCAGGTGCATTCCCAATGATTTGTAGGTGATTATACACATCCCTCACATTCCCAGTTTGGTTAGTTCACCTGAGTGAATGCATACCTACAATGAGGGGAGGCTGGGAGCACTGGGCTTTCTCAGCTTGGGGAAAAGATAGTGGACGCCTCACTGCCACCCGCTACTGCTCATGGGAGGCTGTACAGAAGAGAGAAGAGGCTGTTGGAGGCAGAGAGGGATGGGACAACAGACAATGAATGCAAATGCACAAGAAATCACTGTGAGATATACAGAAACGTTTTTCACCCTGGAAACAAAGACTGGGACACAGGTCTGCAGGAGCTGTGGGACCTCCAGCCTTGGAGACATGCAAATCACCATGATGTAGCTGGCTCTGCTCTGAGCAACTGGGTGTGCTAAAACCCTCCAGACATCCCTCCCGACCTAAATTATTGTGTAATTCTGTGTATCGACGTATCTGGCCAGTCACAGCATCTAAGGGCACTGAAATCCCTGCTCAGAGACTTCCAGTTTTCCCTGCCTTCTAAGGGGAGGTCCATCCAGATGGCTTGTGACTACTCGTGGTTGTAATCTCTCTCCCTGGTCAACTAATCCCTGTGATTGAGTAACAATAAAAAATAAATCCTAAATTGACAATTGCTCCCAATTCTTTTCCTTCCCAGCTGTGCCATGGAGAATGTGGGCTCTTAATTTTATAGTTAATTTTGAATCACTTTAATCTCTTCCCTTAACATAGTTCATCAGAGAAGTCAATTTCCCCCACGATTGCCTCTTGCTGATAAGAACAAGCTCAGGCTTCTCTCCCCGTTTCTCTTATTCCTATTTCAGACCAGATTAGGCTTGCTGAGCCCTGCCCTGTGCTCCTCATCCTCAGAGGTCTGGGGAAGGCTCACTGCCCCCTGGTGACCCCAGCACACCTCGCCAACAGAGCAGCCTCGTGTTCTCTTACGGTTCTAACCACAGTTACGCTTCAAAGCGATGTCCATGAGCAGTGGGGCCTGCCCCAGAACAGACTCACCCTCCACCAACACAGACCTCAACCTCCCCTCTGAAACCGGCCACGTGCTGGTGAAGCTGCAACCTGGGAACGTTGCTTCCCTGGAGGCTGATTCCACAAAAGAAAACACTTGTGTTCATTATACCGCCTAGTACCTTCTATGTTCTCAAATATACATCCTCAGCTTGCTTTTCACTTATTAAGCCAGAAAAGAGTAAATTATACACCCTACCCAAACCTGAACTCAGCCGTGTGGATGCTGCTCCTTGCTCTATGCATGGGGCACCCATTCAACCCTATTTCAAAGGCTTTACCTGAAATCTGAAGTCACTCGTGTAATTTTCTCAAGTACTTTTAAAGCTGTTCCTCCAACATTGTCATTATGTTAATCCGCTCCCACGTCTGAGCACTCCAGTGAAGTCAGAGATGATGGAATAAGCACTCTCCTGCAAATCATGTTAATCATCTGCTGCAGCGGTCCTACAGCACCTCAGCTCTTCATTCCTGCTCTCCAGGAACCTACTGGCCCAAGCATTTAATATTTAAAAAAATAGGGGAAAACCCCATTTTGTTTATCTTATTTTTTAAGGTGATCCTAAACCTCGCATGTGAATCCCCACATACCCCTGATGGTAACCCCATGGCCCCAAGCCTCCTGTTATTGAGTCAGAGCACCACTTCCATCCCATAATACTGCAAAACACACCCTTGCACTCCTGAGGCTCTGCTCCCCGTGCTCTCTGCTTCCCGGCCACCAGCACCACCTCCATCCATCCCTGCTTCAGCAACAGCCACGCTCTGAACTCCAGCAATCAGAGCAGGAAGCTTCCACTGAATGGAGTGGGGCCAGAGAAGGGCAGCGGAGCTGGTGCAGGGCCTGGAGCACAGGGGTGATGGGGAAGGGCTGAGGGACCTGGGGGGTTCAGTGTGGAGAAGAGAAGGCTCAGGGGGACCTGATGGCTCCCTACAAGTGCCTGAGAGGAGGATGGAGCCAGGAGGGGCTGGGCTCTGCTCCCAAGGAACAAGGGATGGGACAAGAGGAAACGGCCTCAAGCTGCCCCAGGGCAGGTTTAGATGGAGCTGAGGAACAATTCCTGCCCCAGAGGGTGCTCAGGCATTGGAACAGGCTGCCCAGGGCAGGGCTGCAGGCACCGTCCCTGCAAGTGTTCACACCCCGTGGAGATGAGGCCTCAGTGCCATGGGTAAGTGGTGGCCTTGGCAGGGCTGGGAACGGTTGGACTGGATGAGCTTGAAGGGCTTTTCCTGCCTGGTTGATTCCATGATTCTATGATTGTGTGACCACCGGGTGCCTCCACGGTGGGATGTCTTTTGCTGGCTGGGTGGCTCATGGCTCCAGCAGCACCAGTCCCTGAGGCAGGGCGATGGTCTTAAGGTGCGCAACAAAGGCAGCCGCTTGTTCTGCTTCACACCAATTTTCCTTAACTGAAGGCTGAGGCTGTTTCACTGCTGTGCTCAGAGCAACCTGTGAGTGAATGATGAGCACACACACGCACTTTGAGAAGCTCTTCTTGTTCCCTGTCACCTCACTACAAGTATTGTGACACTGCAGGAGCAGGAGACACAGCACCCCGCTGCTGAGCACCACCACTGTCACACTGTCTCCACCAAAGCCAACCCCAGCTCCATTTCTGGAGAGAGGGAAGGCACTCGAGTGGCACATCACTGAGCAAATGAATAGAACAATGATCCATCCAAAGCTACTGCATACCCAGACTGCCTCTGGCCCAGGAGATTCTGAACACAATATTGCTGCAGGCAGGAATGTTCTGGGTTGCTTGTTCTGTTCTCATGAACACCAAGCACCTGCTGGTTGCCACCATGCAAACACATGAAGGTGGCCTGATGGACATGTGGTGTGCTCCTCATGCTTTCATGTGCATGACTACACACCATACCATGGGGATGCAGCTGAAATCCTCCAGTCTCTTCCAAGACAAGAGACTGGTCTCTTCCAGTCTCTTCTTCCAAGAGAAGAGACTGGAGGATTTGGCAAGTTCAACCCACCAAAACTTGCCAAAATCCCAAGTTTTAACAGCCCATTTCAGCACTGTTACTGTGACCCCAGCAGATCCCAGTCATGCTTTAGCAGAGCAGTCCAGTTTGTCAGCACTTTGCAAGCATCAGCTGCAAATGCCAAGACCTACGGACTATGATCTGCAAGAAGACACAGATAACTGGGTCCAGAAGAGAGTTTACAAGCTCCTGACATGCAGTCCAGCAGGACTTCAGGGTGGAAAGATTGCGTCTTCCTCCCGCCTAAGGGTGCAGCTAAAGGCACATATGTAAAGACAACCTCCTCCCCCTTCTCTGATGGTGGATCCTGGGGACATGGGGCCACTCAGCAAGGTTTAGAAGCTCAGTAAACCAGGACACATTCACTGCTGTGTTGGCAAGCTCCAACACCACAGGATAACTTAGGTTTTGTATAATGAATTCTCACAATATGCTCCTGACACATCACGATCAGTAGCACCCATCCAACTGCTTCAATGACCAACAGTTCTTAAGAGCACCAAGCTTGACTGCAAACAGAGACCATGTTCCGCAGTCACCCCACATTTATCCCTCAAACGCAGAACCCCAGTGCCCAAAGCATATTCCTGAATCCAACCAGCAACCTCCTATGAATGTGTCCACATGTGCTGCTGGACCAAGACCAAGCACAGACCAGCAACATCACCCCTGTTTCATGACTGACTCCACATTGAGTTCAATCATCTCCCCAATGGCTGGCCTCCATGCTGAGGTGAGAACACTCAATTGCCACGTACCAGAACAGCCCTGGTGAACAGCCCTGCAGCCTGTACCACATCCAGTGCTGCTGTCAGGCTGGGCTGCCAGCTGCCTTCATGCCGTCCCTGCACAACAGCATCCTCCTCTGCCTTTCCAAGCAAGCTGTAACTCTGCATCTGCATCCAACACATGTTCTTCAGTTCCTGGAGCACACCAGAAATTCTCCAGAACATTTGCTCCCCCACTCAGACCTGAGCTTCAGCCTTCATTCACTGAGGCCTCATCTAGGCCTTATAATTTAGACTTGTAACTGAACTGACCAAAACAACCAGAAGAGTTTCCTTCCCATGACATTAAATTGACGCGTTTTGCTCCATCAGGAAAAGGAGATACTTCTCCCATGGAAATGAATCTCCTCAAAATCACGAGGCAAAGGTGCTGATGCTTACCTGTGAGAGGTGAAATTGTCGTAAGAGCCCACAGTATAATGTCGAAAGAGGCGCTTTGTTCTGTCTTCTCTGGTTTCTGCAAGAAAGAGGACATCACAAAGCTGAGAGTCAAAGGAACACTTCCCATGGTCTCTGCTTCCCTACATGTATACAGTCAGTGTCACCTTCATGCAAGCATTTATCAATAAACCATCATCTGTGTGCACACGTGTGTCAATGTGATCAGCCCCACACGTGCTGGGGTACAGTCCCACACGCACACAAACAGCTTCTGTGATACAAGATCTCTTCACCAAAACTACTAAACCACAGCGTGAAATTTCAATGAAGATTCCAAAGCAGAGCCAAAGAGGAGAATCGAGGCAAACACACGTTCCATGTCCCAAGGCAGTGGCAAGATTTCTTCCCATGCTCTGTTTGGCGACATCCACCTCATGAGCAAGTGGCCGCATGGTTCTGAGTTACCGGCTGGGCTTAAAGCACGACAATGCCTCAGCGCAGAGATGCGGCTCCCACGGAGGAGATGGCACCAGCCCTGACTGCCCTTCTCCTCCCCTGGTGGTCACCGCGCTCTCCACATGCACAGAGTTCTGAGGAAGAACCCAGAGAGGTTTCTTCTCTTCTCGTCTACTAACACTGGCACCATCCCTGACAGCAGACATGACAGGCCATACTTCTTGGACCACATCTCCCCTTTAGGGACAGCTCAGGAGTCCACCCGCCTGCCTCTCGGGTGTGAAAAAGCCCCAGACCCTGCTAGCCTGACCAGGGAACAAGAAGAGAGATGCAGAGCCCCCCAGTTGCTGGGTGCTGAGGGGACACAGCCTGACTCACAGCCTGTGAGGAGAGGAGAGATGCCACTGGAGACACCTGGAACGGGTCTGCACTAATGGCTCAAAGGGAGACATGGCAAAGGGATGCAACAGACACAAGCCAGACATTCCCTTAACACAGAAGGAATTTGCATCACACTACCTAACCCCCATCTACTGCCTGCCCCGGGATTTCTACTGCACATTCACCCTGCAGAAAGCAACTGGCTCCTCCAGTAACGTGACTTGAGCACACCACACTGAACCAGCTCACCATGGCTACAACAGGGTGATGGGACTCCGAGCAATCAGGGAACTCCACTCCTCTACTTTGCAACCAGTTTCTTTTGTAGGCCTGCGTGCTGCTCACTGCACAACTGGCTGCTGGTCTGCTTTACGTTTAATTTAACTTCGTGTTCAAGGCCAGCCTGGACTGGGCTTGGAGCAAGCTGCTCTAGTGGAAGGTGTCCCTGCCCATGGCAGGGGACTGGAGCTGGAGGAGCTTTAAGGTCCTTCAACCCAAATCACTCTGGGATTCTATGAATTCAGCAATTTAAGCATGCTAACTAGGGCAGATGGATAGAAGGAATGAAGAAAGGGAATAAATAAGAGGAAATAAAGAGCAAAGTATAGATGGGACTCACCGTTTTTCTTCAGTAGGGACACAAAGCGTTTGCACCCAAAGCAGTTACAGCACAAAATAAACATTTGTTTGACCTGCGCTGGAATTCAGAATGGCAACAGCCTGTGAAAGGGGCTGCAGGAGCAGAGGGGCAGGTTTTTACTGTTATTACAGCACCATTGATCCAATGAACTTTGTTCTAAGCTCAGGACAGGGTGCACTGTCAATCCATCCATCCTGGTCTCATGACTCTATCAATCCATCACTGCCGGCAGAGGAAAATGCTTCCACAGCAGCCACAACATCAGGATCCTGCCTGGGGCCTGACAAGAGCGCTACAGACAGCAGCAGCAGCAGCATCACGTCACCGCACTGACACTCTGTCCTGCCCCCGTGACATGCACTCCCTGTCCCCTGCTGCCAGGCACTGCTGCCAGAGATCGAGCTGTGGCCTCCTGATCCCAAAGGTGCCTCTGCATGGGGAGCAAGGTCCATACTTCAGCACAGATGTCCTGCTCTGGGGACCCTCACCCTTAGCATGCATCTCCAGTTCACTTGCAAAACATACTGACTGTGGGCAAAGCTGGCTGGAGAGGGACTTCGGAGAAGCGCCTGTAGGGACAGGCCAAAGGGAATGGCTTTAACCTGCCAGAGGGGAGACTGAGATGAGCTCTTAGGCAGAAGCTCTTCCATGTGAGGGTGCTGAGGCGCTGGCACAGGGTGCCCAGAGAAGCTGTGGCTGCCCCATCCCTGGCAGTGTTCAAGGCCAGGCTGGACACAGGGGCTTGGAGCAAGCTGCTCTAGTGGAAGGGGTCCCTGCCCGTGGCAGGGGTTGGAAGTGGGTGAGCTTTAAGGTTCCTCCCAACCCAAACCAGCCTGGGGTTCTGTGATTTTATGAAGGTTGAAAGAACAATTAACTTCACCCAAGTTCACAAATAAGACCACCAAAGTGTTTGCACCATTGAAAACAGCCTTGCTCCCCCCCCAATTCTTGTTTCCCCATTTGCTTCCCTTATGCATGTGCTTGTGGGAATTTTTAGCCTCTTCCCTTCTTTCTCAGAAGAGCTGAAGGAGAGCCCTGGGGTGGTGGCACTTGCTCCCCACAGAGTAACACCCTGCACTTATGGTCCTGGCCCCCTTCCTAAGGCCTTGGTCTCCAGTGTGGGGCACACAACACAACCCGCAGGTGTGCAGGAAGGAACGCCTTTGGTACCCCCTTAGTAAAATCTGAGAATCCTTGTAAATGGTGTTTAATTCCAGCTGTATCTCACCATTTTTTAGCTTCTATTTTTGCATATGCTTTGCAGTGCACATCGTACATTAGCAGAGCAGCACAGCTACATCATTCATAAGTATATATGCATGTACGGGGGAGGGTGTGTGCTCAAAAAGATTGTTTTACCAAGTGGTAGGTGATGCAAACAGTGAGACCCCAACACACGGGACATGCAGCATCACAGAGGTTACTGCGGGTGCTCTGGTGATCCCCCCAGAAGCAGCGAGTGTGCAGCAAGGACAAAGTGTGGTGCAGCCCAGCCCGCACTGTGCTGCGGCTCGGGAGCGTGGAGGAGATGTCACCGAGTGGGGAGCAGCCCCCGGTGACACAGGGTGTGATTCCAGCCTCGCCGCGGTGCATCACCGGATGCATTTACCTAATCCAGAGAGAGACTTCCTGCAGCCTGGTGGTGCAAGGGGGGCTGATGGCTTCCCAGGAATCTTCCGATTAGGTGGCCGTCCACCGAGCCCCGGCCCTGCGGTCCTGGGAAGAACTGTCTCAAAGAACCAAGGAATTAATCTTACTGGCAAAACAACACCTTATGCCAAGAAACAGGGATGTCAGGGAGTGATAAGCACAGCAACCTGCTGCAAAGAGCTAAAGGACAGAACCTGTTCACCTTGGTCATCCCAGGCAGCTTCTCACCTTGCTTACCCTCCTTCTGGAGGCAGGGGCTCCTCAGCTCTGAGCTGGGGGTACCGGACCCTGCCCACAGCAGCACGGCCGTAAGGAGAAGGAGGCACCATGTGCTCTCACAGGGACTGATGTGCTGCTGGAGAAGCACATGCATCACACACCGGCTCCTTCCCCACTGCTGCGAGAGCGCCCAGACAATGGCAGCACAGAGCAACCTGCTCCAGCTCTGCCAGCACGCCATGAGCACGGCAGGGACCCCCCGGTGCTAACCACCGGGGAATGTGACACGACACCAGAGGCCTAAAGAACTCCTAAAACATCAAGATGAACCTTGCTTGTTGTGCCTGTGAACAAGTTGGCACTCACAACGTTCCCAACCGGCCCCACGTGACTGCTTCGGTCCCTTCTCCTCCCTCTTCTCTGCCCTACTCTGCCTCCTACTCCCTGCCTCCCTCCACGCATGCGCTGACACTTGCACCTCATCTGCACACACCTCTATTGATCTCAGCAGAATGGTAATTTGGTGACAGGAGCTGGATTTATGGGCTGCCCACAGCCCAAAGGCTCGTTCTCTTCCCAACCCCTAAATATAGCTGCTGCCGAGCGCATGTTTAATGGAGCCGTCACAAAGGCACCAGGGAATGAGGCTGATGGATGGAGACGAGCGAATCACTTGGAGATAGGTGTGGAGAGGGAGGCTCTATATTAAGAGAAGAGGAAGCAAGAGGACACCAGGGCAGGCCGGTGGGACAGGCACAAGCAGGAAAACAGGAACAGGGAATACAGAATGCCAGAAAACGACAGCATGGACACCAGGAGTAGGTGGTTGGTGCAGGCTGGTGTCAAGCTGCTCTGTACCCTGCCTGCAAAGTGCTTTTGCAAGAGGCAATTCTTTCTAGTAAGGCTGCCTAATATATTAGATGAAAACACAGGGTATCACATCCCAGGGCTGGCCAAGAACACGCTGGATGTGCCAGAGAGAAGGTTCTGGGAGAGAGGCAGCTCCCACAGTGACCAGAGCACGCTGCTGAGCCCGAGCACTGTGACAGGAAGCTCTGGTGCCATTCCCAGGCACCCTCCAGCACTGGGATTGCCTCACCCCATCCCATCCTCTCTTCTCTCAGGCACCAATACAGGGTTGCAAACAGAAACAAATAACTCTTCGGTGCTCACAGCCCAGAAAGCAACCGTATCCTGGGCTGCATCCAAAGGAGCATGACCAGCAGGTCGAAGGAGGTGATCCTGCCCCTCTACTCTGCTCTCATGAGACCTCACCTGGAGCACTGTGTGCAGTTCTGGTGTCCTCAGCATAAAAAGGACATGGAACTGCTGGAACAAGTCCAGAGGAGGCCACGAGGATTTTCAGGGGACTGGAGGGGACTCTCATACGAAGACAGGCTGAGGAAGTTGGGGCTGTTGAGCCTGGAGAAGAGAAGGCTGCGTGGAGACCTCAGAGAAGCCTTCCAGTATCTGAAGTGGGGCTATAGGGATGCTGGGGAGGGACTATTCATTAGGGACTGTAGTGACAGGACAAGGGGTAACGGGTTAAAACTTAAACAGGGGAAGTTTAGATTGGATAGAAGGAAGAAGTTCTTTCCTGTGAGGGTGGTGATGCACTGGAATGGGCTGCCCAGGGAGGTTGTGAATGCTCCATCCCTGGCAGTGTTCAAGGACAGGTTGGATGAAGCCTTGGGTGAGATGGTTTAGCGTGAGGTGTCCCTGCCCATGGC